CCCCCCCCCCCCCAATTTTGTTAGCTCAGACTGTATATGTCACTACAAACCCAAACCCGCCTTCCTTCAATCTGTTACCTTATCCTCTAAATAACTAATATATATATATATAGTCTGTCATTTATGCTGCATTAACCCAATTTCGTGACAAACTCTTCAATTAGTTGAAGGTGGTCACTACATGGTAGAACTAGACCAATGATCAAAAGTCGATCTAAACCCCTAGAAAATGTAAAATTACTCTGAAAAACCTTAGTTTAGGTCCAAATGTATCTGTAATAAATTATCATGTCCCTGTGTTCCGGAGTAAGAGTACTTATTAAATATCTGGTTATAGTTTTTACCGCAGTTACCTCAAGAATAGCTGCAGCTCGATGTCCTCATCAAAAGTCCCAAGCTGCTATTAAAGCTCCTTGACAGTTACCATTCTCTGTTTTCTCCACTTCTCTCACATAGGAAACGCTGTGTACCAGTTACATTAGGGAATAGCATAAACTCGTACAGAAAACTTTTGGTGATATCAACATAATGATAATTTAAAAGTGATGATTAAGAATTCCGCTTCAAGACCCTACAAGTGTTAACCATATATCGGTAAAGAATTTTTAATCCATATCATAGTAATCATAGTATTCTTCCATCATTGGAAATCTCGATAGAGATTGTTGCGATGCCTCTTCTTTTTGCTTTATTCGCGTTAACTTTATACATAGACCTAAATTAACGGTCCCTTTACTTTAGGTCTCTGCTTTATATGACAATGAATGCAATTGCATTTGTGCCGCGTGATGATTCTCTCGTTCCCGTCTTGCATAAACTTGATAAGGCTATTGTAGGAGGCAAACTTAATTAGTACCGCAAATATCGGGGAATATTATGATTAATAACTTGAAAATAACTCCAAAATAACACTTTAATAGAAATAAAACTAATTTATAGTGTGATGCTTGTAATACTGTTTATTACAATGTTGTATGATTGCTTAGTACGAGAAGTGGATTACTGTCTATACTATTATATGATAATGTAGTCTGAGGAGTGTAAATATGTCTATTATATCAATGTGTGATGTAATATATGATTAGTGTTATACTGTCTATCATCATAATTATCACCGTATAATGACTGTAATAGTACCTATTATATCATTGTGTTGTGTTTATAGTACTTTATGGTATGATGCGTGTACTATTATTATTCTCTTATGTGTGTGTCTGTCCATGTGCATGTGTGAGTCACTATGTCAGGGTGTGACCATGATTGTGAATGCATTTTCTTCTCTTTTCAATAGTGTTTTGTTCGTTATTTCTGTAACTCTTCGTTTTTGGAGGAAATAAAGGAAATAATAATAATAATAAAGAAACAAACGGCGCATTATAGACACCAACCATTTGTGCCCGGAGTTTCCCTGACTATACATTGATTGACTGATTGATTAATAGTTTTTACGTCCGCTTCACTACCGAGTAGTTCGTTTATCCAGCAGACGAATCCTTAATTTGCATTCATTGGTCACCACTTTCTATGACTTGAATCCCTTTCTCTGTCACCAGGGAGGTTCAAATTCAAGCGCGAAAAAACTGATAGTCGGATAGTAAACGAAACAAGTTACAAACGCTTTTTACAAATGCATACCAAATGCTATAATATAGTAGATCCGACCTTAATATATATATTAAAAAAAAATAACCCAACAGCTGTAATTAAAGGAATGTTCCAAGCTGCTGCAAATATAAACTTCCGGATTAATTCCAATTATGAATTTAGAATTGACTAATATCACGTGACAGTTCAAAATGGCGACGTCGCCGAAGGAGCGTTTTGATGCTGCGGTGAAAGTAATCCATGGTTTGCCAAAAAATGGTTTGTGTATTTGTTTTGGAAGTTAACAAGTGCATCAGATAGAAGTAACATTCGATATAAACAGATTGCTATGGTCATACAGGAAGTATAAGCTTATTCAATCGGCTATATAAGCAATCTGTTGTTGACATATCGACAAAACATTACAAGTAACAAAGTTCAGTTTCTAGGTATGACGGTAACCGTCTGAATTTTGGACTCTTATGATATGTAGCCAAGTGTTGGGTGTATGTTGATACTGGGGATACTTTAGTTTGTTGAAATACTTTTAACAATTCGGTCAAGAATAGGGAATGTTCTTTTCATAGAACAAAGCTACCAGTTAAATTCTAGACGTTTTGGGAATCTTGGACGTTTCGGTACCAGATAGTTTCGGCTAATAAAAATATAATACTTTGGTACAAATTTCCTTAGATAAAGAAAATTACACGAACAAACATTCCATGACACAAAAGTGAGGAGTATTGGGTTGAAATTAGCCAGTTTCTTACGGCTCTGACACCAGACTTGGACATTTTTCGAAATGTAAATTCGAAATATTCAAAAATCTTTTTCACATTTTAAAAGAACTTCTGGGAAACATCGTAACACGTGATTTAAGTACCAAAATATATTAGTACCAAAATAAAAAACCAAGTGTTGGAATGTCGTTATCTGAAGGTGATGGTGTCTGCATCAGCTAAATCACAGGATTTTATTTACTGATGTGATTATGTCACTAAAATATGACAAAGGATGTTTTATTATTCATGGGTTTGGTTATGCCTCAAGAAAAAAATTGACAGTGTTATATAATAAAAACAATAGCACCCATTTATATCAACAAGACTGACCAATTGATTAGATAATTTACTGTATACCATATGTAATTTTACTTTAATACATACTGAAAAATTGTATGTATATAATCGGTATTGCCATATTGTGATAAATAAATATTAATGCAAGTCCCTTTTAAGGCTTTACATTATTTCCTATACACCATGATAGATCAAAACATTCATCAAAATCCTTTAATTTGTTCTCATGACCCTGTGTTGATATATTAATGTCAGTTACCAACCTCTGAAACTCCCAGTGTGGGTTGTCATCACCCTCCGCGAAAATTCATGTTCACTTGTGGGTTGTAGGGCGCACCCTCATATTTTTTTTTACATTCATGTCAGTACATAACTACATAAATCTATTAATACTGAATGATATTTTATTATATTTTAGTTTCAAATATTTTCTTTTTGAATATTTATAATCAACAAAACAAGAATACCCAAAAGTAGAATGCACTGTGCATTTGATTAACACTGGCAACTGTTTCGGCTTATTAGTTGCAAATGCAACTACAATATGTGTATTATTTAGGCTGTTCTCAGGAAAATAATTAAATAATCACCTTCAAGACAAATCAATGGAAACAATTTTGGTAATGTGAGAAGCGGTGTGAAATCTCCTTCCTTTTATATATATATATATATATATACTGATATTGCTGTAATTATGACATTAGAATGAAAGCAATTCAATGACTTTACATTCAAGCTTGGTCAATGTTACAGATGTCACAGACAAGACGCCATCATACATGTAGCTAGCCCTGAGTTTCTTCTGGTCCCGACACTAGATTTAGCCATTTTGACAGATAACTGGATGTCCTGTGTGTATCTATATAAGTCTGGTGTCGGGGCAGAGAAAACTGGGGCTAACATTTAGCATACCACCCCATAATAGGCTTTCACAATAATCTAAAGTATGTGAAAATAGTGATATACAAAGGATAGTTTTTATGTATTAGGAGTTTTAACAAGTTAAGGGAGAAAAATATTTGGTATAATACAAATCAGATATGTATGTTGTAATTTGTATGTTTCTAGAATAATATTGAAGTATAAATGTACATGTATTTACAGGTCCGTTTCAGCCTTCCTATGAGATGATGCTGAATTTTTATGGGTACTACAAACAAGCTACAGAGGGGCCATGCACAAAAGCAAAACCTTGGGCGTGGGATGTCGTTGCCAAGAAAAAATGGTTCAAGTCTTCTATTTTAATGTCTTATTATTAGCCCACCATCATCTGATGGTGGGCTATTCAAATCGACCTGCGTCCGCCATCGTCCGTCCTTAAGCAATTCTTGTTATCGCTATTTCTCAGAAAGTACCAGAGGGATCTTTCCCAAATTTTATATGTAGGTTCTCCTTGGTCCCAAATTGTTCAGGGCAACTTTTGAGACTGATTAAATAAGCAACATGGCCGACAGGCAGCCATCTTGGAATTTGACAGTGAAGGTTTGTTATGGTTATTTCTCAAGAAGTACCAAAGGGATCTTTCTCAAATTTTACATGTAGATGTCCCTTGGTCTTCAGTTGTGCAGGGCAACTTTTAATACTGATCGGTTAAAAAACATGGCCTACAGGCAGCCATCTTGGATTTTGACAGTGAAGGTTTGTAATCGCTATTTCTCCGGAAGTACTGGAGAGATCCATCTCAAATTTTATATGTAGGTTTCCCCTTGGTCCCTTTTTTAAAAGCAGGTTAACTTTTGGGACTGATCGGATAAACAAAATGGCCAACAGGCAGCCATCTTGGACTTTGACAGTGATGGTTTGTCATCACTGTTTCTCAATAAGTAGTCGAGAGAAGCACTGGAGAGATTCATTCCAAATTATATATGTAGGTTCTCCCTGTTCTATAGTTGTGTATGTTTGATTTTGAGACTGATCGGATATAAAATATGGCCAACAGGTCACCATCTTGGATTTTGGTAAATGAAGGTTAATTAGGCCATAATAAATTATTTGCTAGATTATCATCCCCTCCCGCCCCCTCTTTGAGGCCCCGCCCCATTTTTTTTTATTTGCGAAAAAAAAAACGAAAATACGAAATACGGATTTTTTTCCGTTTTCCGCTTCAAAAATTAGTTTTATATTATCAATTTCCGGTTGTAGAAAACTCGTCGTCTGCAATATGGTTTTTGTAATTCTAAAGCTGAAACGGCAACTTGCCGTTCTGAAAGATTGGTATGGGTGTTCAGTAGCCGATACTAAAACATTAATGCAAGTCTTTCATGAATTAGCCGAAGGAACAATTGACAAATCTGCGCCCGTCGAGTGTGGTAACAGGGCCGTTGTGTCGGCCGGTAAATCGAAAGTGGAACTGACCCAGTGTGATGGCGCATGTACGGTGGGGGAAGTGGTGTCGTACCTCGGAGCTTATTTAGAATTTAATATTGATGCTGATACAGAAGAGCAGTCGGCAACTGCCATTGCGAAATCCGACGCATTTACAATTTTAATGTCGGGATTTTCGAAAGCAACAATGACAAGGTCACTGTAATTAAAAGAGGACGATATGTGAAAAAGTAATGTGGTGTGTATTCATACCAAAAGTTAGTACAGATATATATGTGGACTGAACAGTGAAATGGTGTTCAATGTGTATACTGCATACTCAAAGTTGTTATTAACAAAAAATAAAGATAAATGTACACTGAACATGCGCCTTTATTGCACTATTTTAACACATTTGCAACCATTTCAAATTTTAGGAAAAATAAAAAATAAAAAATAAAATTCGCCCCCCCGCCCCAATTTTGAAAAGAATTTGGATGAGAATCTAGCAATTAATTTATTATGGCCTTATCACTATTTTTTAGGAATACTTGAGGGATCTTTCCCAAATTTGCTATGTAGGCTTCCCTAGGTCTGCAGTTGTGCATGTATAGTTTTGAGAATGATCAGATAAACAAAATGGCCGACAGGCCACCATCTTGGATAGTGACATTAAAGATATGTTATCACTATTTCTCAGGAAGAACTGGAGGGATCTTTCCCAAATTTGTTATGTAGGCTTCCCTACATCTGTAGTTGTGCATGTTTTAATTTTGAGAATGATCAGATAAAAAAAATGACAAGCAGGTCACCATCTTGGATTTTGACAGTGAAGGTTTGTTATGGCTATTACTCAGGAAGTACTGGAGATATCTAGTTTATATATTTATAAATGAGGGACAGACCGCCTGAATAAGCCATCGAAGGCAAAAAGACTGAGCAGTAGATCTTTAGCACTTAGTATTTTATTCTATATGTATGTTACTGTTAATTTCATTAATTAAGATCCCTACAAATACTTTGTTTTATGCTCAACATGAAAATGAAATTGGCAAAATATGAACAATTCTGATTAGATCAAAATTTGTAATTCTTTTATTATCATTTCAGGGATGCTTGGACTAAGCTGGGGGACATGGATCGTGAGCAAGCCATGATAAGCTATGTTGAGGAACTCAAGAAGGTGAGTCATTTGTATCGTGTTGTGTAGTGGCTTTGTATATGTGCTCACATTGTTGACTAAGGATATATGCTACGTTACTGGGATATGTCCTTTCCCCACTTGTAAAATATCATTTAAAAATAGTAATTTGGATTCTGTTCATTGATTTGTGGCACATTAGAAATGTACTCAGACCTGTCAAGTAAACTGGGTCTTTCAGGTCAGACCCAAAACTTGAGGTTATAAATGCACATTTTATGTCTCCAGAGAAGTCTTTAAATCACCCGTATCCTGATACCTTCATAACATAGAGTAAACCTTTCCCGTTTGTCTGTTCATCTGTCTGTACAACCTCTTTGTTAGAGTTTACCTTTGTTCCAATACTAAAAGCCCAACAGTATCAAAATCCACACGTTGATCCATCTTGAGGAGTGTTAATAGAGGCATCAAGATTCACCGCGATGCACTTGTACCGCGATTATTTATGTTCGATTCGATTCACGATATATTTTTCCTGATTTTGGATATGTCACAATCTGAATAATAGTGTGTGCAGTTTCAGCCAAATTGTCTGTCAGATGTTCAATTTCAAATCAAAAGTGTGGAAACACTTCGGGTTCCCGTGTGTCGACGGCTTATATATCTCATTTTGTTTATATTTTAAAATAAAGGTGTATCGAATCGTGGTACAAATATCGAGATACGTGTCGAATCGTGGGTAAAGTGTCTCGTGACAGCTCTAGTGTTACATCATTATATTAAATGTAGGCCACTGTGACCTATATGTTCTGCACAAACTTTAGTAAGACAAACAAACTCTAATAAACTATACATTGTGTGATGTAGCATATATCCTTATGGCAATACACAGATTAGCATATGGCCAGATGACTTCCAAAATTTGTTTCACATAGTTTGTTATTTACCTTAGAAGACATTGGAAAAGAAACAAAAAATAACTGTATTTTAAATTTTATACAGTGTACAGATCAATGTAATTTTGAAAGATAGATTTTTTTGCAATGCAAATTCATATTGAAAAATAAATCTTGAAATATAAAAAAAATAATTAAAATATACTTGGTTTAATAAACATTTGTAATATACATTTGACAACTGAAGATGTCAATGAAAGTAGTTCTTTATATTTTGAGGGATATCCTAAAAGGTCTGTTATATGGTATTTGACATATGGTAACCAAAGGGGCTGGGTACAGGAATTATGGGTTTAAGCTTATATGAGTACAGGAGTTGTGGTATTATGATAAAAGGGACCCATAACTGGATAGCCATAAGATACTACAATGTCATTCAACTTGGCATTTCTCAGTTAAATTCTACTTGATTTTGAAACATTTGGTACCAAAATCAGTCTTATACATGTATTATCTTCAAGTGCAATGTAGCTACTACCAATAGGAACACAGAAAACATCAACAAGTTAGGGCATTGATTTTATAGTAATGTTAACCCAGTGGGTTACAGTTTTATCAAAGTGATGTAGAATTTGACAGAGTAGCACCAAGTTTAATGGTGCAGAGATATTTGATGATTATGCAGTCTTTGGTTCCCTTGAACTTATACATAATACAACTCCTATATATTTACATACATAACCCCATATCTCCTGTATCTGACCCCTGTGGTTTTTCAAGAGTCCATTAAAAAAAACCTATTATGACATTTTTTATTTTTTTTTAAATACATAAATTGTTCTGAAATTGTTTTGTTTCTCATAAATGTGTTCATTGGTTATTATGCAAATTATATATTAACTTGGCTCTTATTGCTTTTTAAAAAAAGTCCATTTGCCCATTTACTGCAAATTGCTTTTGTGCCCTTATTGGCTTTTCTCTGCTTTATTCACTGCAATCCAATTGGCTACCAAGGTAGTTTGAGTTTCACGCTTGCTCCTAACTGAACCATCTAACCTCATGCTGTTGGTGAAGTGTAAATTAAGATCCCATTGTGTTTGTTTGTGTTTATCCTTGATTCAATCTCTTACGATTTTGAAATATTTCAATTCTAAGCACGTATATATTTGTTATTTTTCTTTCGTTTACAAAATTTACTGTTATTTTGAAATTTCAAAGCTTAACATGGCATTCATTCCTTTTGATTTCTTTCATTTTTGCACATTTTCTTTTTGCTGTATACATACAAGTGTTTTATAAGTGTTTGTTTGAGTTTCAACAAGGCTGCTTACTCTCACCTGTTTATTTTTTCAGACCTGTGAAGTATCTGATAGGAATACTTGGGTGTACAAAATGCAGTACTTTGATTTCGTTTGTTTTGTGTATCATGCTCTTCATCGTCAGAAAGCTAACCTTTAAAACATTGTTATGCCCCGTCCTTTCAATATTCAATTTTTGGCAGGATTAAACACTAGCTATTTTTTCTCAGTAGTCCACAGGACTAGGTGAATAATTTATCTGCTAGTCCTGCATCGACGAAACATCTCAAGGAACATTAAAGTTGACTGTAGGGGATTAACTTTGCCATTAAATATGGTGAACTTTTAAATTTAAATTTTGACAAATATGCAATATATCTGTATTTTAAAGGATTTTCCAAAACAAATATTCTTATTTCATAACCTTTCTATCAAATGTTATCACAATAACATATTTGAATTTACAAGTCCAAAGGACCATTTAGGTTAGGTTAGACTCAACAGTCCTCGGTGAAGATAAGAGGATTGGTGTTAGTATCGAACTCTGTTTGATGTATATTAGCATAAAGCAAACATACTCGATAGCATCATAACAGCATCATGGTAAGAATTCCATAGGAACGTGGTACTCATGGTGTCACCAACACAGCTGGCCGAGAGTACCACATTGAACCATTCCAGCTTTGGAATTTATCTTATTGTCAAAGGGAATGAACATATTGTTGGCTTAGAACTTGTTTTCTTCGATTCAGTTTTAAATTGTTCACTTTTTAACACAAACAAACGCATAAAACAACATGATTAAAGAAAAAAGATATATTTATAAGAAACTACATGTACATATGTGTATTTCTGGATTCTTTTTAACACTGCAGCATCACATCTCACCTAATGCCGTCTCTAATGTTACCTTTCAGAGTATCGAAATATGCACAGCAAAATTACGTCAAATGAATGAGAATGGCGATAAAGGGGTAGGGACATCTTCCTTATTTATCTTCACTCAACAGTTTGTTGTACAGGGATTTTTCTCATTATATTCACAAAAACCTTGTTATACTGCCATCACTTGTCCAGTAGACTTTGGGCATTGTAAAAGCATTCATTAAATATAGAGTGATATTTGTAAAGGATTGGTTGAGAGAGGAAAATGATAATGCTAAGCTTTTTGACAATTTTTCATTTGAAAATGAGGCAATATATCAAGATTTTAGTGCAATTTTAAAACATTTTTTTCTGAAATGATTTTTTCACAATTTTTTAATTCAGATATTTAGCTTTCGTTAAAATTTGTTTTTTATCAGTCTCGGAAAAGTTTACAAAAGTCACATTTTTATATAAATCTGTTTCTCTATATAAATTATTTTCAGTTTATTAAATGTAATGCTAACATAGGTCAGATTACCGGGCACTTTGGGTACATTTGCGTATCCGGTTGAAACGGTTGAACCTGTAAAGAAAACGACAGGTACAGATCTGGACCGACGCTGACCTCAGGAAAATTTGGCACGTGTATATTGAGGGGTCCAGACCTACCTGGCCGAAACTAAAATGTGGTCCAAGTGCGTTCGTTTATCGTGGACTATTTCTGCCCCACACTTACCGTTTCAACCGGGATTCGCAAATGTAGCCTATATTCTCTTTGGAACGGGAAGGGGGTGGGGCAATATTATAAGTCAGTGGAAAATCCCTGTTATACATACTTTATATATCTCTGCAACTCCAAACCATGTACAATGATCAGAATGCTCTGTGTCACAGTCCTTACTTTATATGGTAGTTTACACCTTTTTATCAAATATCTTGAGAAAAGTATTTCTTTCAACCACTTACAAGTATTTATTGCATTATTGGTTTCAATTTTATGTTCTTATCATTCTTTCAAGTTTGGACGAACAGTTTTCAAACTTTTCGAATTAATTGACTAGACAAGAGATTTGAACTTAGCTTAAAGTTTGACTTTTAGTGTGAAGTTTGACTTTTAGTGTGAAATTGCACAATTTTCATTTCAGCAATTTGATATTATTTCATTAAATATTAGCTTGATTAGCTTTAAAAATAAAATGTGTAGGTTATATATCAGCTTTATTGAAAGTAATAAAATACAGGTTCTGAAAGTTGCCAATCCATATGTTAATTAAAAAAAAGTCTAATGACAAAAAACACCCTCCAAAATGACTATTAGGAATACGTTGCTATTCAAATTATACCCGGTAAGTGTCTTTTATTATATTTTATGATTTTTTCAATTTTAGCTGAATTTCTGCTTGAAAAATGTTGCTAGAAAATTATAAATTCTGTACTTATTATAGTGTGACATTAATCTACCATAATAATTGATTTATTATTCAATAATTACTACTAGTTTTCTCAAAACGCAATTAAATGGTGACTTTTAATGCATTTATCATAATTATTTAACTGATTTTAATAGATCGTGATGCCCTTTTAGTGACTGCTTACATATATGTGTATGGTGGTAGCGTAAATGAGAACATTTAAATAGACAGTTATTACTTTCTGTTATTTCATTATATAATACAACAATTAGGTACAGTAAACCATGTTAATATTAAGGATCTTTGTACCACTGTAAATAAGTGCTGATTTTTCCTACATGACCATATCTTTGATAAATCATACATTTCTGGAAAGAAAACCCTACCTTCGTTGCGAGGATAAACAAAATATTGTCAACAACAGTGTTCTTGCATATCCAAGCAGAAGTTAAAGGGTGATTTCTGTTACAAAAACAACAACAGGCCAGTGGGACAGGGATCCTTAAACTCCAGGGGACCTAAGTCATTATTTTGTTGTAAAAATCAGTTTAATGTATTATATATTAGTTGTAGAGATTACCCATTACCGGAACCAGTCTGCGACGTTAGGCACTAGTCCGATGCCCACGACTGGTAAATTTAAGCCTGGACTAGTATTGAAAATATTCAACTAGTCCGACTGGACTAGTGGCAATTTTCCTCCAAAATAATGGAAATGTTATTGATTGTAAAAAATTTGCATAATAAAGCTTGTCACAAGTTTTAATCCTATCGTAAAATACGGCATTTGTCAAAATTTATCAAAATTGAAGCGTTTCGATGAGTGAGACTGGGTTCCGGATTTTTCATAGTTACCAAACTTTACTTCTGGTTTATAACCACGTGAAACCAACCATGGTGATTTTGCTAAGCTGGAGGAAAGGTTCAAAACCAGATTAGCCTGTCCGTGAACAGACAGAAAAAGATGCTCTAACACGAAACCAAAATTTACGGTTCTGGCTAGTACTTAACGGCTCGATGGAAACAACAGTAATACTGTATTAGAGATAATTGGCGATCACGTTCTGTGCTCCTTTTCTATAGTTATTGAGAGACATTTTGTTTTGATTTCTAATAATTTTCCAATTTAGATTACAATTTACACCTAATGCTGGACTAGCAAATTCACAGTCGGGCTATTAAAATCCTGGGTTCACTAGTCCAAATGACTAGTAAGGAAAAAAGTTAACATCACAGGCTGCGGAACCTTTGACTGGGGACAGGAATAAGTAGTAGTTTTGTAAAAGGTTAGTGAGTCTGTGTAGCACATTTTATTATGGAAGAAGATTGTGAACAGGGGGAATATATTACTCCGAAAACTTTTCCAATTATAGTCGGACCGATAAAAGTTACAGCGAGTCATTTATGAGTTGTGTTCCTGCACATACATAAAGAAAATTTCAAGATGTAAAATTGAGATATATATTTTTTTCCTGCTGGACTTATATCTTGATTTTAAACCGTAGATAGTGGAAGCTATGCCTCAGGATCAGGTGGTGAGGGAGTTTATGGCCAAACTGGGAGATTTCTACGAGATTGTGGACGAGAGGATGCCAACAACACAAGATGTAGCAGGTAATACAGGCGCAAAACACCTTTGATAGTGTTCGTATATACAGTAGTCCTCGTTAATCCAGCTGTATGTATCCAGGCAGTTTGTAAGTATATGGGATGTAATGGTCATTTACCATACAAAATTGTCCCAGTAACCCATCTAACAATCCAACCACATTTTTTCTGTATTATCTACAATCAAGACTTGACTTTATTATGGCAGTTTATTTGCAATGTGATGAAAAGATGCAGCACTACCGGAAGGAGATTGTTTAAGGCACATTCTAATATTTACATTTTAAACAGCAGTTTTTGGTCCTTACATCTGTCAGATTATACCTGGTTAAAGTTTTGTCTACCTGGCAGGTGGATATTTTTTGTGTCATTCTTTATACTGAGAACCAACTATATAAAATCCAGACTTTTACTGGCAAATAATTTAGAATGCCTTGTGTTGTAATCTCAGTAACTTTATAATGCTACCATTTCATTAAGTTAGATGCTCACAGGTTTGTACCTGGAACAAATTCACATGAGTTTAGATTGTTATTTACATCATTAATAGTCCATAGTTCCCTTTTTTCAGAAACAGGGCAATGTTGCTATGTGAAAATTAAATATCTGCAAACGGAATTCCGTACAGGTACTACTAGTACTCAAGTTATCCACTGTAAGTGACTTTAGTAAATTGTTAGTTAAGTTATGGCTTTTCTTCTAATCTGGGCATGAAGAAGACCTTGACCTTGACCACTCAATGCGTGTGGACATAGCACGACAACTGGAGGAGGATGACCGCAAGGAGGAGATTCCCGAAGACCTAAGGACACAAGAACTGGAAGACAGCCTCAGAAGGACCGAGGCACTCGTTGACCAGCAATTAAAAGAGGGTAAATATAGTCGAACATTAGATGACTTTTAAGTTATGAGTTACACTCTTGAAAGAACCAATGAAATGGCAGTTAAATCTAAACTACTATTGTTGTATTATTCAGAAAACAAATGTTCAGAAACCAAATGTCCAGAAAAAAAAGAATTTTACATGAATTAATGATTATTATGGAGTTAAAGACAATGTAAACCTGACCACGTATGTTGTTGCTGTTTCAGTATCATCACAACTACTGACCAACGGGGTGGAGGATGTGTCGATGAAGAGTGGTCAAGGGGACAGCGAGAGTGAAGAGGAGTTCTGTGATACTTCGGATCATCCCTCACAGGTATGGCTTCTACATCTATGATAAAATACCATACAGTTAGGACATTTCTATCAGACATGCAGTTTCATGTGCATGCTGTCCCAAAGCAACAAGGATGTGACCCAATATTCGCAAAATACTGATGCTGTGATTTGGAAATACTGCCGACAAGATAGAACTGAAATGTGAAAAGTTATTGATATATGTCAGATAAATGGCATCAATTCTTGTGTACAAAGAAAGTTTGGTGAAACAGGGTATGCTTAATATTGCTAAACCACTTTGTTTTTGTCAAAAAAAACTTGAGGGGAAAAAAGATGTTATATTTTTCACAATGGTGGCCAGTTAAGATGCATTTTAATGGTGTGTTAGAAAGTTCTTGCAATTGGAATGAGGGAAAATAACTTTTTCATTCCCAGGGGTATGAGATATGGATATTATACTCTCAGGTTTTTAAAAAAGGGCAAAACTGTCAGCAGAGCCTAATGTTTTACCAAATGTGAAAAACCCTTGGTGGCATGTCCCTATCCTTCACCCCTGGACCCTGTGAGTGTCTTATATTCTCTCTTGGTTAATATTTCAAAATTCTAGCTAATCTAAACTTATTCTAATTTTAATAAAAACAAGTGGCTCAAAAGGGCTTGTATATCTCACCTAGAAATACTAGATATTGGTAAAAATGTAGATGAGGGTAATCTGTTTGAACAAAATGTATAGCCCTTTGTCCCAGCAAGCTACACGCTGAACAAAGTTCCATTTATCGTTACTTCTTGGTTCATTATAACTTCTGAATCTGAAATTATTAACATATTTGAGTTCTCTCTGAATACCGTTATTCTCTTTATACCCTATCATGCTATAGACCAAAAGTCATGATTCTAGACAGATGGTTTGTTAGATTAAGTTGTTTCATTTTACTCCTTTGTCCTTAAAATGTTAATTTTGAAAAAATGTTTTTAAGGCACTTACAGGCAAAATGTCATGACACAAAACTTCAAAGTTTAATCATTAGTATGAGTCACATGAAGATTTCAGCACATTTGACCCTTGCTCCTTTGATTGTAGGTCAAAGTAATATATTTGAACAAAATTTAAAAAAGTCTGAGCTTCCTTTCTTTAGGACTCGCCACCTCGAGAAGTAGATGATGTGATGTCCGGTCAAACAGTTGATCATCAGATGTCCACACCGGTCAAGTCAGTTCAAAACAAGGCTGGAAACCACGTCCATTTTAACAACAGTTTGACCGTCCTTTCTGGAAACAAAATCACCGAGGAGGTCATGTCACCAATATCGAAATCTAACCTCAACACAAACGAACAATTGAACATTCCACCAAACTTTCCATTCCACGCTGTAAATGGCAACACAAGACAGTTTTCTGACAGCATGTTGACACACGGTGCTTCACCAGATTCACAGAATGTCTCGTTAGAGAGTGTTCCAGATGTCAAGGACAGGTCGACAAGTTCACTTGAAGATTCTTTATCTGGACAGACGGACACTATTGGTGCACGTGGTGATTATAAACCAGCAGGAAGTAAAGGTCAGGGGAAACCACTCCCAAGGGATCAATCACAACCAGCCAGAACAGGTACCAGGACAGGTAAATATAGGGAGTCCTCAGGTATTGGCCAAAAATTGTAAAAACAAGGCAAGCAGATAAAACAGTAGTTAAGGGGCAATATTATTCTATTATGGCCTTTTCCCGAGGGAACTGTTCTCTTATAGTGTTGTCTGGGGAGGTATAGTGCCCAAGCCGGTAGGCAAGGGCACTATACCTCTCCAGACAACACTATAAGAGAACTGTTCCTGAGGGAAAGGTTCATAATAGATTTAGTACATCACATGACTGTCATTTGACAATAAAAAGTAAAATGTTTAATAATTAACAACAAATGTCTATAAGATAATTGTTTGAGTAGATCTCTCCTTTTTTGTTGCGTATTCAATTCACTGGATTGAATCACCGCTAGGTCACATACGGTTCCCCTTTCCAGTAGGAAGTCTGTAAGTACTGCGATGTCAAATGGTGTCGTCTGCTTCGTCTTGATGCATTGCTGAGCCTCTGCGAAGCAATCAGCATTCCTGGTCCCGAAATTTGAGCTGAAAATAGAACAAGGGTAGTTATCCAATAGCTATCCTAGAAATTATCATGTGATGTACTAAATCTAAGTAACAGTATCCTGGTAAAAATAAAACTGTCTTTTCTCCTTGTGGTACGTGTTGTTAGCAAATACTGTTTGTTCGCAGGTCTGTTTATGGCCCAGGGTGGAGGGAGTGAGACCACACCCATGGGGTCTGGCAGTGGTAGACATGGCCAGGACGAACCCCTGACTCAGTCTACAGAGCCGAGAAATGACGAGCTGGCGGTGACATTGATGCGACTACAGCAGGACATGAACCGAGTGTTGGCCCGTCTGGACAGCGTAGAGTCTACAGTGCAACAAAACAGATCACAGGTATTTAAGTTAATGGTTTCATTTTGACCTTGTCAGAAAAAGCCTTGTTTTAAATTCTGTCTTGCATTGATCTTTGAGGATAACATGAAAAGTAAACCTCTTAATCCCCAGATCAACAGTTCTCCCTTGCAAGGGGGTAAAGTTCATATAGGGAAATAACTCTTTTGACTACTATTTTGTGCATTATTAGCAGGAAATAATTGGTACGAATAATTATGATGAAATTGTATTTAGATGGTATCAGAAAGTAAGATCCTGACCTTTTCCCTGATAAGGACCAAAGGAGAAAAATTGGCTAAATAACATGTTGCGGATCGATATCTTTTATCTGTTTATTTGAATCAATTTAGTGATGCTTTTTCCTTAGGTGACATGACAAATATTTTTCGTTGTTTACATGCTTCTCTGGACAATGAACACTACCTATAATGTAACTCAGGTGACGGCTAAGGCCAATGGGCCTGTTGAAGAGAGTCAAAATGCAGAATTAATCTAAAGAGTTTAGGATGATATTACCGTTGAACTTTTGATCATTTGAACAGTGCACTCGGAAACAAAATTTCAGTCAATAAAATATTGTAAATAAAAGCTTTTACATCTTTTCAGAGTGACAGGAAAGTACCTCAGTCTATATGGGTAAGCTCTGTCTTTATTCTTATAATTCAAAATATCTCAATCTTGTTTTGGTCACAATGGAATACTAGTAGTAGATGCTGACCGAACACTTTTTGTGACCCTGGTGATCATTCTGCTCACAATTATTCATTTCCTGGGGTCCAGTCTATTACAAAGCTTTATATGATGATTTGCCATGATGAAAGGATGAACTTCATTGAAATTTAAGGTTAAAGGTCCAAAGTAATAGGTGAAATATTATGTTGAAGGAGGACATGTGAAAAATTCATGATTGAGTTTATGTTAGAATAGCTTTGAATTATCAATGACTTTTTAAAATGCAGAATTCTCGCTGGTGGCCACTCCCTTCACTGACTGGGAGGACATTCTTCTTTGTATTTGTTTGGCCATTTGTCGTACACTTATTGTTAACGAGGGTGTTCAGAAGAAGAAGGTAAAGTCACACTTTTTACCGTTCTCATTATTATAATATTGGTTAAGGAGGAAGGTCACTAAAGCAGAAGGAATTACCTTTGGTAACTTTATATTGAAATTTCTGTTTGAATAACTTTGTACGAAAATTGAGTTGGGATGTGACCTGGTGAAACTTATTAATCAGCATGACCCTTGTATGGAAAGCTAACATTTGCTTTTTTCAATTTGTTTCATTTCCCTGTTGGTTATTCAAGAAATAAAAAAACTCAATTACATGTTTTCACAGAGAAACTTTAGGGCAAATCTTTTCAAAAATATTGGTATATTGGTACTTAAAAAATGTTGTAATGGAAGATGGATAACACATGAATTCTTCAATTTTCAGGCGAAACCGATAAAGAAGATTTTGAAGAATGAAAACCCATAATGTGCCAAATTCTCCATCATAATCATTAATGAGGCATCACAAATGAGCTTAATCCTATTGGGGCATCTGTCGGAGCACTGTCTAGTCCAGTTGCCTGCTCACCCTATGTAACACAATGTAATTGCATTGTACCACAGGTTGATTTGTAGGACTTCACAGCTATTGACAATACACATTGATTTTGCGTTCATTATTGGAAAATAATCTTTATTGTGATTCTTTCCTAAAATAGAATCAACAGTGAGACACCTGTGTAATGTGTTATATGATTCAGACTTGTTTAATTAACCCTTTCAACCCTAGGTAACTTAAGTAAACTCTACCATGCATTGATCGGGTTGAGTCTATTATGGTCCACAGTGGTGAAAGGGTAAATGGATAAAAAGTTGAAGGTAAACTGGAACAAATACATTGATATCAGAGAGCATAAATGAAGGAATAGATAAGGGAGATAACTTGTTCAATCACAGGTAAAATATATATGGTGAAAATTACAAATAAATGTATATTGTGTCCAATTACAGATAAATGTATATGGTGGAAAATTACAGGTAAATGTACATGATGGTAAATACAGATAATGTACATGGTGGTAGAAATATTTAAATGGTGGTAATATACATGTGAAAATATAGGGTGGTAAATTACAGATAAATGTACATGGTGGTAAATTACAGATAAATTTACATGGTGGTAAATTACAGATAAATGTGCATGGTGGTAAAATAAATGTACATGATTTTAGATTACAGATAAATGCAAATGATGGTTAACTACAGATAAATGTACATAATGGTAAATTACAAATATATGTACATCATGGTAAATATATAAATAAATGTATATTTACATGGTGTAAATTACATGTTAATGTATGAAGTGAAGTCCCAAATCGCAAATCAAATATTCCATTGTTTATCAAATCGTTAATCAGTCCAAATTTAATATCATAGACCATATTGACAGTATCATACACTTATATGAAAAATCACTTTCAAAGTTTCAGATGTGTCAATAAAATACAAAGACTGTATGTACAGGTATTTGATTAATGTTTGAGATATTGGTAAATTAAAAAAAATTGTTTGATCCTGGGATAAAGAACAAGATAATTCAGACAAAAGGAGGAAGATTTCTTGCTACTGTTGAGCTAACAGTTTTAATGTACAGTAAAACAATGCACATGTATATCACCCGGAAAAGATACATATCTTATTTTACTCCTGAAGTTATGATATTCAAGAAAAAGTTTATCGAATCAAGATTTCTGAAGAGTATGTGTTCAATTCACAACTGGCTGTGAGGGTTTTATTTTGTTGTTTATGTGTATATAAATATCTACAAAATCTGATGACAGTAAACATATTTGTATAGCCTTGTTGTGGATACCTGTAAACAGTACTGCTTCTGTTGGGTAATGCTTGATTAGGTGATATTTCATTATCAATGGCTTTATTGCTTGTGTATTGTATGATATACAGAGGCCTTTCACCAGTGTTTGCTTTACTTACCAATTATTCAGTAGACACATCAGATGGGACTGTTACAGTGTCGGATTATCAAAGGAATCTTTAATGGTGTTTATTGACAGTTTCTTTTTTCTTTTTTTTTCTTCTTAATTTTAACAGTGATTGTAAAACACCTGACCTTCCCTCCTTCAATTGCTTGGCATTTGATTGATAAAATGTCTAATTTACAAGGCTTTTGGTGAAAAAGATAACAAAATACATGGGACAAAAATTTGTTTGCAGAAAACAAACTACCACATTAAGAAGACTTCATTCCAATATTTATTAATTTAGGGGGACCTGTATTACAGGTGTATAGGGGGGACCTGTATTACACATTTGAGATTGTTCGTATCTGTGATATTTTGCGTATATAGTGTGTGGATGTCAGTCAGTATTATAGTGTGTAGGTTAAGTTACTATAGTTTACTTAAATTCCAGAGAATATTTACACAAAAACATTTGTTGTGGAATTAATCACAAATTACCGTAGGTCAATTTAAAGTCCATTAAGGTAGGTCAGTTAAGGTAGGCCAATTAAACATTCAATTAAAGGAGGTAACTGAATGGGTCAATTTAAGTATGTATATTGTTAATGTTTATTCAGATACAATCATATAAGAGATATATACATATATCTGTCATTTTTTCTACCATGATGTCAAAACCTCTTAAATAACCACAGATAATAATTTGTAAACCACTTTGAGACGACCTATGAACTAAGTTGTGATAAAGCGGTATATAAGAACCTCAAATTATTACTATTATTATTATCAAAAAATTGTAGATCAGTTGTGAAAATATGTATTGTCAAAAATCAAGTGATTTACCTAAAATTAACTTGGAGTTTTCATTTGTTGGTGGTATATTTTCACGTTGCTGAATGGCGATATCTTTATTGTTATGCTAGTAGACCTTAATTTACATTTGGTCGGAGTGGTCCTTTTCCTTTCAGTTTGATTTTATTATGCATGTTAAGATATATACAAAATGTTCAGCAGGGCTCGTTAAAGAATTGAACTTGAATAAAGCAGAAAATTTGCTTTGATAATGAAACCTGTATTCCATTCCCTCTGTTTAATTTGACATGGCAGGGGATAACTTAATTCCCCAAGTTAGAATTGTAAAGTGTATCTGGTTGTTACTGTAATGTAATATATAATTTGTTTTTATAATCTTTGACCCGATCTCTGTAATGAACCATTTTTAAAGTAATATGTGATAGATTGAGAGAGCTACAGCATGATTGATTGATGTTTTAAATGTGAAATATCAATAGATGGGCGAAATCCGTGCATATTTTATTGACCAATTTGCTTGTATGTTGATGGAAATTAAAAGAATATGTGAGGATTTTTTTGTGTAATTATTTGTTTGCCTGTCATGTGATTTGTCACTACAGAATGTTGTGGACAATTGTACAATAAATGATCATGTTCATCTGTAAATCTCCATTTTCAACTTAATAAATAAAAGAACTATTTTGAAACTTGTGTTTTATGTGGTGTTCTGGGTGAAATCTACTTTCTGTAACTACATTCTATTTGACAGGTTTCTGTTTGAAAGAAATCATCATTTTTTGGTCTTTTTTTGTAGCCCACCATCATCAGATGAAATTGAATGTTTGTTTTATCACTATTTTCCAGAAAGTACTGCAGGAAGTACTTAACAGATCTTTCTCATATTGCAATGATCAGATCTATTTCTTTCATATTAATTTCTGTACTTGTAAATATGTGAAACGACAAACTCACTTTAAAGGTTGTCTTTTCTACACAGCAGTATAAAGTTTAGATTAAAAGTTTCCTCAAGGTGCATTTACTATTTACATGACTCTATCAAACAGATAAGAGAAAAGATGGAGCTGACATATACATGTAGCTAATGAAGATGGTACAATGGTGGGCTGGGATCTCTTGTTATCAGCTGCTGAGTTCTGATTTAGTACTGGTGTGTTGATGCTGTGGTGAATTAGTATCATGCTGGTCGTTTGAGATAGCATTAACTACTTATTGTAGGAGCTGAGAGGTGTGGCTTGACCTGATGTAATTCAGTAGATCCAGTCCGTTATTTTCTGATTATTTTTGTAAATAAGGATTTGATGATGTACCTTCTACTTCTAAATGGTACTGACCAACTTCAACAATTTGAAGATAAAATGTCAGACGAGGAGTGAAACATGGAAAGAGATTGTTTTTTAAAGATACAAGATGGTCTAATTTGCGTTTGAAAGGTGACGGTAGAGGGCTGATTTGAATAATTCCGTTGTGGGGCTCGAAATAATGTCAGGTGGGAGTTTATTCCACTCGGGTATAGTTCGAGGGAAGAATGATGCCTTTCTGGTCTGGGTTTTTGAGTGCGGAATTTGATACAAAAACTGGTGGTTTGTTCGGGATTTTCTAACTGTAGGGATTAATCTGTCTGATTTTACGATAGCGACTTTCTGGTTTACAATGTTATGAAGCATGGTCAGACGAGCATCTCTACGTCTATCTGCTAGAGGGTGCAGCTTTAGGTGGTACAACATTTCTGACACACTGGAGGTACGATGGTTGTACCTGTGCTTATTGAGCACATAGCGCGCTGCCCTTCGCTGGACCATTTCCAACTTGTCAATATTTGTTTGGGTGTGAGGGTCCCATACTGTACAGGCATACTCAAGTGATGGTCGAACTAATGATTTGTATGCCTATAGTTTGGCCGATGTTGAGCCAATTTTAAGATTTCGTCTTAAAAAGCCTGGCGTAGAATTTGCTTTTGGGCAGATAGTATTTATATGTGAATCCCATTTAAGGTCAGATGATAGTGTTACACCCAGATACTTGGCCTGACTAAGATGTTCCAGTATGTGTCCATGTAAAGTATAATTATGGACTATTGGAGTTTTGTTTTTAGTCAC